ATTTAAGATCAGCATTTTAAAATTAGTAATAAGAATGAAGTACCCTTATAAAGAATCTTAGTTTTTACTTTTGTTTTCAGAAATTTTAAGTTATCCTACCTAGTATTGGGTTTCTTTTGTGAGGATTTGGAAATGATTTTGAAGGAATCTCATAAGATTATCATAAATGAATGGACCTGAAATAAAGTGATTATTTTACTGGCTACCATAATGTGAGTACTGGAATCTTAATATTAAATTCTAGCCTAATTCCACTAAAATTAACTTTACATTGTAAAGTAAATTCCCAACAGACTTTAGGAGCTTATATTATAAACTTCGTGTACAAAGCATCCGCATAAGATTAACAAGTTGTAGTACGTACAGTATGAGTAAGGTTTGGGCTCATAATATATACTGCTCATCTACTTCAATAGCTAGGTGACCCTCCATATAAATCAAATCAAGGGTAAAAGGATGAAATTTATCATATTCACCAATAAATAAGAAGCTACAATAAGCATTTCAGGCATTTATTATAAAGTACTTTTTGCTTCAGAGTAATAACTTGGGACATAGATATAGCAACTGATTCTTGTAAAGAAGAGACACATGCTATTGTAACAAAAAATAACAATGCATTTTGAATCTTGATAGCGTTTCAAATCTTCATTATAAACAAAAGCAAAATCTACAATTTTCACTTGGTTGTAGTCTAGAGTATTGAAAATTATTTAGAATTTACAGCTCTCAAGGAAAGTTTATAGATATATTTTGAGCATCCGTCATTATTACAGTGACTTTTAAGTAAGGCTTGGTTTTCAAATCATATATACCTAGCGATAATTTTCAGGATCACGAAAGTTAAGCAGGCCATCTGTGTACTCAGTAGAATAATACCAATAAAGGCACAACTTAATTTATTTGTAATGCAAAAACTTATAATGTAAATTATTACAACAAACTGTCATGTTTAGCTGCTATATAAATACTATCAATCGAAGTATAGATTTAGTATAGTGATATCAATATCGTTAGAATCGCACATCAAAAGTCAAAATACTGCACAACGATTAGAATGACAGATTTAAAAAATACAAAAAACTTAGGAATAGCCCATCAACGTAGGGGGGTAGAGTTTTTATATATATTTTGATGAACTTAGTAGCAGAATTGATCACATTATCACATTTATTCAGACTTGGAGAATAAATATAAGGATTTTAGGAGCATAATAACATAAAAGTCAAGAAAATATTTAGAAAGTATTAAGGAAGCAGTTGAATATTAAAAAAAGTTAGCATGGGATTATGCGTTAAAATAGGAAGGGTTGCTAGAGTCGCCATATTTCCATAGGTAGCGCTTGTAAAGTAAGGGTAGAATTGCTGTGTTCCTTGTGTTATACATCAAACTAATTTTGAAATGGTCGCTAAAATCTAAATATACAGTATTATCAAGGAGGTATCATTAATTAGTAGACTATTGAACCG